GAACATTTCCAATTTTTGAAAAGATTGGATTTTTCTTGGAGGGGTCTGCCTATAGATAGGCAATGGTGATTCTTTTTACCTCAACACTATGAATTGGGATTGTTCTTTTGTTTTGATTATGATACTCGAATGAGGGTCGATCAAAGTGATGCCTTGTGCTCAATTAAAAGTTTGGTTCGTTTTGTGCTAAATCTGTGTGTTTATTAGGTTCTGTTAAGGTCAATTGTTACAATTCTTTGTTTCTTATCCTGAAGAAAAGGTTACATTTTGTTTATTTATGTCAATATGTGGTTCCAACTTCCAAGTATGGTATCTTTGTTCTTGGTGTTGTTGTTTGGATGAATAATATCAGCAAATGTGAATGCCAAAAAGTGAGATCTTTACTTTTACCCTCTTATCAAGTTGTTATCATGGCTCCTTGTTGTTTTCATGTTGCCATTGTTATCCATCTGTTTGAATTTCTTAGGCTTCTGTCTTACGGTTCATTTATGCATAGCTATTTCCTAATCTGATCTAGTAGCTTATGTAATGCTAGTTGGCATGTGTTTGCAGAGTTAGGCGTGTGATTTTGCTGTATAATGGCTGGATTGATTTACCGTTACTATGTTTTTGATAATTTGTCCCTTAGCGCTCTTTGTCTTGCCCTTCTCGTTTCTCCTTCCTTGCCTGCATTATAATTAGTGTTCTTCTTGTGTACCTATTAACACCTATCAGAATGGAATTTAGCTACAACGGCTCGTGCATGACCTTCAAAGGAGTAAAGTGGATAGCTCTTGAAACCGTTGTAGTGGATTTAGTATCCCCTTGGAAATTGTAGATTGTGGATAATGTAGTATGCCATTCATATTTATATTTGCAGTCCTATTTTGTACTACCATTTGTTCTGAAACTGCAACTGGTTCTCAGTAATGTCCATGTTTATTCCACTCTAGTCAGGCTGCTATCCATATCTAAAGGCAACTACCCACACCAAAACATATCACTTAATTTGCTCATGGTTCATGCATGTATGTGTGATCACACATATAAATCTGGTTGTCACGCAGTTAGCAACTTGAACTGGGAAAAGAAAGAATAAGCTACTCTTTCCTTTTAGATATCATAGACTTGACAGATCCTTATCAAAAAAATCATAGACCTGATAGCTCATAGCTGAAAATTCCAAGGCGTATGCAACAAACTAGGGGAATTTCTTGTTATGATAGCCTTTTCAAGTGTTCTTAAGCTTCTTTGTTTGTAACTTTATATTTAAGCTATTCACACTCAGGGGAAGCTGACCTGATCATTTTTGAGAAAGAAATCAAATCCTTTTGCTGTTTATGCTAATGTGGCCTTGCATATGCATGTCCCCTGTTCAAGGAAAGTACTAATAAATACATGACATATTCCTGTTTTTACCTGAACTTGTATCTGGTATATATTTGTTGTGTCAAGGAATATACCTAGTTCGCCATCATATCGTACTTCTCGAATCTAAACGTTGTAGCATGTCAGTCAGACCAAAAGTAGCTGGAGTTGGGTATCAAATTTGTGTCTAATTTTAGTACACATTTAGACCAGATGTTTTAGTAAATGAGTAAACATCTGAACCAGATAGAATTCTGTTTTAGTAATAAAAACTTGGAAGATCCAGAGTATAGATTGATCTTTATTTTGGCACAAACCATTAGGATATATGTAACTGAAGGTTGATTTTCCTTTGTAAACTTGAAAACAAGTGTCATACTGTACAGGTTGCCAGGATAACTTTCACCTAGCGAATGACTCTGCTTGTGGTTATTTATTCCAAAATTTCAATTTATTCCTGCTTGGGGTGATGACTTCGAAAAGAGGAGTTAACTAAAGATGCAAGTGTGATCAACCCATGTAACAATATCTTGGATGAACTTTGCGGGGAGAGTCTTGCTCTACTTTGGTGCATCTGATTGGTTGTATTTGTGTTTTCGCTGATTTTTTTTCATATCCATCCAAAAAAGGTGGATTGGCGACCTGAAAAATAAGACAAAATTAACTGCTAGAACAGGTTAAATATGCTGATACAACAACAACAACAAAACCAACCACCCAGTAAAATCCCATAAGTGGAGTCCGGGAAGGATGGTGTGTACTCAGACTTTACCCTTGCCCCGAGGGAGTAGAGAGATATTTCCGATATATCGGGTCAAGAATTAAATATGCTGATAGTGTTTTTAAAAAAAAAAAAACGGTAGTGTTAATTTCTTTCTTGGTGGATAGAGAATATAGGAAGCGTGTCTGCTCGAACACCTGCGGTCTGGGTGTGTATTGAATACTTGATACTAATAATGAATTTGTCCCACATTTGAAAATTTGCAGGTCTAGTACAACCGAAAAAAAGGAACTGCACCCACTCTACCAAAATATCATATATTCAAATGTTTTAAATACAAGACCTAAAAAACACCTGTTAACACATGGTCTTCAATTAAACACTAGTTGGCCTTTTAAGTACATTGTGGCCTATTTTGCCTTTATTATACCCCCTACTTCTATAAAGGAAAGGACTTTTTCATCACTTTCTTTAGGCCTTTACAGAAAACTGCACGAGTCCATTGTCTCCTTTAAAGACAATGCTTTGTATAGCTTTTTCACCACCACGGAAAAGATATTGAATGGTCTAAAGTAACTCGTTTGAATTTGATTTAGATAATATTAATGGAATTTTTTCATATACCTTCGAGAGAAAAAAAAGTAAAGGAGCTTGGAACATAGCATTGTTCCTTGTATAGTTTGTATAACCCAAGCCTGATCCTCCACTTAAAAAAGATAAACATAAGTAAAAATAAAAATAAAAAAATACTAAAAGGAAAAACTTGAGATCTGTGGGAGGAACCTCAGAAAAAAGAAATTATATTGTGAGTATAAATTTCTGAAGATGCAACAGAACAAATCACTAGAGGGAAAAACATCACATGATACATTCTGAAACTACCAAAAAAAGGGCATGTCCGATAAAATTATCTACTTGCTCAGGCAGAAGTCCTGTCATTATGCACTTTTTAACACCACTAACTCCTGGATGACTGAGAATTTTTCTTATTCGTGCCATGAAATTTTCTACCAGCCTCAACAGCTTCCCTGCAATTCAAATTTGTACCTCACAACAATGAGAAAAGTTTGGTTATAGAAACTACTGCATTAGACTAAGGTTCTACGATAAAATGATGCTAGAGAAATATCATCTACAGTTACTTTTAAAAAAAGAGCTTCGAGTTTCAACATGCATACCTGAAAGCAGTTGCGAGCTCCATACTTTCAGGGTCGATCTGTACCCCCTCATAGAAAGCATTGGCTGCATCTTCAAACCTCTGAGAAGGAAATATTAGAATATCAGAAAATATGGGTATATAAGTTCGCAATATTTGACTCCAGGAGGACTAAGGGCATGCCTGCAATAGCCGTAGAGCTGCACCTTCCCGAAAACAAGCTTTTGCCCAATCCGGTCTAAGTTGTCTGCAGGCCTTGGCATCACTTAAAGCATGTTCAGCTTGCCCCAAGCGGATCCAACAAAGACTTCTATTCGAATACAGAATGCCATCAGTTGGATCAAAATCGATTGCCTGCAGATTATCAGCAGAATACAAGAGAGCCCTGTAAGTGATGCATACACACTGTTTTATAATAACTATCACCAGCAGACCATTGTCAAAATCTAATCCATATACTTGCACCGTGAAGAGGATAATTACATCCGTTCATCATTATCTTCTGCTTTCTTTTTCCCTTTCGCATGTGTTTTACAGGGGGGAGGGGGAGAGGTGGGAATTCAAAAGGAATCCAATAAGCCTAACATGTAGTACCTGTGTATAAGCATCCACAGCCATAGTGTAATCCTTCCTCTTAAATGCCTCATCTCCCCTCGCTTTCGCATCTGCAGCTTTCTTCTTTGCTTCAGGAGTCACCTGCAGATCAATTAATAATGCCGATGCAAGATATTTAGCACTA